TAATTGCCTTCCCTCTAGTCTTACACTGCTAAATTAAGGACGGCTAGTGCAGATAGCCCTCATGTAGCTTTGCGTGAAATTCCAAACAAAACTCACAATCGAGAACTTTCTGGCCTACCCACTTGACACATTTATATTCCAACTGAGCCACGCAAATCACTATTTTGAGGGTAAGCCATAAAAGAGCAGTTTTGAACGGCATTGCTGCTTAGTTTTCTCGCGAGACTTGGCAACACTACGTTCAGGTGATATTACCGTTGACTTTAGCAAAAAAAAAATTGTTCTTCGACGGTATAACCGAAATATTTTAAGGTTTGTTAAGTGTAGATGTTCTACTTTTATAGGTTAGGTGTCTGCTTTTCTAAATAACCAGGAGAACTATAACGTGAATCAGCTTAAGTGGACTTTGTGAAAAGTGGTTATGATACTTTGAAATCCCTTTACAAAGTGCAAGAATACTCACGTTTTATCGGTAGCATTGATAATAAACAAGACACAAAGAATTAGAATAAAGTAGGTAGATATGAGTACAAAGGTTCAAACATTTGAAAAGTTAACATTTCTTATACTTTTTGTACCAAATGTAGAACTTATACAAATGCAAAGATGGAGATAGATATCACAAGACAATGATACGTGCTTTATATATTGCTATGTCATTTGTTTATTTACAGTAAGGTTATGGAGATTTATATTATGGTTAGAATTATTAATTAGTAATATACTTCTTTATAATTAGATAGAATTTACCATTTAGTATTTTATTGTACGTTTTGGATGATAATCTACTACCGTCTTTAGACAAGGACTATTTTTTTGTGTTGATAGTGGCCTCTACCATTCACACTTCTTTTTTGTTTTTTAATATCCTATTATTTTAATATTATGTAGTTAATTAGTTACTAATTAATAATTAGAATTAAATATGTTCTTAAGATTACCTGCAATTGGAGTAAGAACATATTCATAATCCTTTTTCAGTGGTTCCAGAAACTTGTTTGTTTGTGTTGTTGTTAAACACAAAGCTACACAATGAACTAACTTTGCTTGTTCTTCCACGGGGATCGAAACCCAGTTTTTAGCATTATAAGCCTTCAGACTTACTTTTGAGGGAATGTGTTCTGGAGCAATCTGTTGAAGCTTAATTTGATTCTTGATCTTTCTACATTGTAAATTACATTAAAATCTTCAGGATTCTTATGAAGAGATAAGTTTTCATTATCTGCTTTTGAAAAAGCTCTGCATTTAGAACCTACATAGTTCATAGTCCACAATATTGGCATAAAAGTTCAGACACCTTAATTCTGTTTAAAATTTCTGATTAATGTTTCACTGTGACAAAAATATTAATACTCTAGTCTATCACACGAAGTTTGGGAAAACTCACGTCAAACTTTTTTTTTTTTTTCGTGAATAGAATATTCTTTTTTTTTTTTTTTCAGAATGAAACCAGATGCCATGACAGTAGTGTTATCTTATAAGATTTCTAGCTACTCGCTTCTTTGTAGCCGTTGGTGTTAAAGTTCACTTTCTGTTGTTTTGTTCTAGGATAATGACCATAAAACGTGTCTCGTCGATTCGTAAGTGAACTACCAGCAAATATTTTATACATGAGTAAGTATTTGTATCCTAGTGCAATAAGTTATTATGATTGTTAGGTAAGATATTAGTTTTAAATCCTATGATTAAGATCTATTGTAAAAATTATTATTTTTTGTATTTAAAATATAACATCACAGTTTACTCAAGTGTTGGGTATAATTATAAATAATATAGCTTAAGTAGTTAGACGTCACATGATAAACATAATCGTGTATTTTGGATTGCTAATGAGTATTCTATTATAGCAATGCATCACCTCTTATTACTTATTAATATTGTGCTAATTAATCAACTTCTAACTATCGTCTAGATTTATAGAATAAGAAACGTGAGTCTATATAAATGTATACGCTAGACACACTAAACCTAAATCGTTACAGCATTGCGAATTGTCCTTATTGACACAGAACTTTTGAAGGCTTATCGAAGGAAGATAGTGATATTTTTGTCGATAGGAGATCAGTTAGATATATTCCGGAACCGGTGATTATATGCCTTCTACAACCTTTCAAGAATAATAAATACGTGTAAAGTTATTTAAGTAAAAACTAAGAAAAACATTTTGACCAGAAAACGTGAGACATCTTCTGCTGGAAGAGGTATTTTCGGAGTTTTAAGGCTATACATTATATCAGATTGAACTTCTGTTTCTAAACATCAATTGGAAAGTAATCTAACTTTGACAATGTGCTAATTCTTTTCAGTCATGGGGGCGTTATAATGTACAATCAGTCCCACTATTCATTGGTAAAAAAGTAGCCAAAGAGTTGGCTGTTGGTGGTGTTGACTAGCTGTCTTCCCTCTAGTTTATTGCTGCTAAATTAGGGACGACTAGCGCAAATAGACTTCGTGTAGCTCTGCGCAAAATTCAAACCACATATGCACGAGTCATTTGAAGCACTAACACCTATCTGAAAACATTTATAAATAGTGGTTGACCACCAAAAGCCAACAATTCTTACAAGTACAAGTTGCTGAAATGAAACTCTGAAAAAGCGTATCTTATGGGTTAAATTAATTCTCCAACATTTTATTACATTTGTTTTTTATTAAAAACGTTTGTGTTGTAACAGAAAAAGCTTAATTCAGAAACGATTTATTTTTGAAATTGAATCGATATTTTTACTTTTCATGATAAATTTTATGCACTTGTCTTTACTTTAAGCTTATTATACCAACACTCATTACACTTATAAGGCTTCACGCCCCTCCCCTCACGGCTCCCTTGCATCCCCATCACTAAAATCTGAATGGGCAGACAGTAATCGAACTATTCTATCTGGATAGATGCATTTAGGCTTTTATGACTCGTCCTATTTCGAGAAGTCAGGTATGATATGATGTGACACACAGGTTATTTTTTATATA